ATTGACTTGACTTGGAAGTGAGCACTAGAAAGTTCATTGAATGTGGTTTTGAATTTCATCTTGAAGAACAAATTTATCATTAAATTTTCATTTTTAAAATTTCAGCTCTTAAAGATTGTAGAACCGATAAGACAGCACAAAAATCTTATTAGTCCTTAATTTTGTGACAAAGTGGAGAGCAAAATATACGCATGTATTGATTGTATCATAACCGAAGTCTGAAGTACAATATAAATAGGAAAACAATCGAAAACGTAAAAGCCTAATTACATATGATAAGACTAAACTACCCTTAATGACTAAACTAAATAACATAAACACAACATAGTTTACACCTCCACTCAAACTTAGGATGAGAGTGCAGAGAGCACCATGTGAATCTTTGTAAAGAAATTCGCCAACTAAAGAGAAGAGTCCTAGAATTTCATAGGAATCACCCCCTAAGTTTATGTTGCAACAACACACCCAACTCCCTAAGACTCAACTCACTACCATCGAAGCTTTCCTTTCAACCAAAAAGGCCCATTGAGTGCTGCACCCAAGGTATTGGTTTCACACTTCCAAAATGAGTATGTCTGTTCTAACTGCCCAATGGGTACTGCATCACAAAACTATAAGCTAAGATGCACACATAGAGACACAACACAATACGAACATGCTATGGACATGCTGACAACCATTTTTAAAAAACTACAGGACACAACACGCGTGGGATGTGCACAAAATGTATAGTTTTATATATTTATTTTGTGGTATATTTAAATATATAGATATTACTTTTTTTTTTCTCAGCAACAAATAAAATATATGGATATTTCTTCCAAAGCTACTAAAAAGATACAACATAACAATAATTTCTGAAGTTTAAAGGATGGATTAATAAGTATAAATCTATATTGTTTCATTAATCATTGGATCCTAAATATTTTTATTCAAACTAGTAATGTGTTTCATGTGTCTAAGTCATGGACATATGTGTGTGCCTCAAATGTTCAAAATGTGCCAACATCTAAAAATATTTTTAAAAAATTAGGACACGTGTGGATGTGCGTCTGATGAGTGTCGATGTCTGAAACGGACAGGTCACCTTCTTAGAAGTGTCCATGCTTCTTCATCTACAAGTGCATGTCTAATACAGCAGCTAGGGACAGAAACAACCCGGGCATGGCTATTCCTAGGGAGGCATTGTCTTGGTTCAGTAAGTCTGTGGCAGGGTTTTTTTTTTTTTTGGGTGAATTAAAAAAAACAAAAACTCATTGAACAAGATCAAGTATGTGGCAGGTTTTTCAGCTATAACGAGATCAAGTATGTGGTTTTCAAGCTCCATTTGTAATGTTTCAATGAATACCAAGCTGAACTAAACTCATTGAACTTATTTGCTCTCTCTCTCTCTCTCTGAAAAAGCAACCATTAACATGCACTCTATCCAAAAATTTAAAAACTAGTACTTAAGAATAAGTCCATGGAAATACTCCGCCCAAGACCTTCCAGAAATTATACCAAGTAGAAAAACACACCCACACAGAAAGAGAAACCATATTTAACGTGGTTCGGCCTTAAAGCCTACGTCCACGGGAGAGTAACCGGTTATCACTATAACAATGGAGAGATTACAGAAAGATTATAATAGGGGAGGAGCTCACACTCTCCTCACTCACCCACTCACCCGTCTCCCTCTCTCACACCGAGAGAGACGGTCTCTCCACCTCACATCTCTCACTCTCTTCTCTCTTGGTTCTCTCTTGTTGTCTACTCTCCTCTCAACCTCTATTTATACATATCATGAGGGAAGGTAGCTGGACAGCAATGGTGAGTGGATTGGTTAGTAGGGAGGTGCCACTCCCACTCTCTCTAAAGTGGTCTCCAACCACCCCACTCTCTCTAAGGTGGGTTAGCCACTCACATGGGATGATAATAACATAGCCAACAAATCACCCCCTCAACCCATGTGAGGTGATAAACTGCACACACTGCTGCTAATCTTGCCACGCCCAAATTTCAACAGAATCTTCATCTCCTCATTGAGACGCTACATCCCCTGAAGCTAGAGATAATACACCAGAGATACAAGAAGAGGAGGGAATCCTACATCCTCAACTCAACTTATACCACTCTCTGATTTGGAGAGAGCCTCTGCTCCTATCTCCCTCAGATCTCTTCTACGCTTCCTGTCTCGGATGTCTCCACTTGCTATGCTTGAACTTGCGCAACCAAGATATCTTGACACCCCCTGATTGGATGTCCTGCACCCCCTGCTCGGGATACCCTTGCATTACCGTGCAACTCCTTGCATTACCGTGCAACTCCTTGCATGAAAACTTCAGAGTTTGACACATCAACATCCTCAATTTTCCTTGCTCGGAGCTTATTTCTGAACAACCAGCCTTTGCTTTCTGCACTTCAGAACAACTTCCCAGCGATCTCATACGCCCGTTGTCTGTGCTGCAATCCCTGATGTTCGGTTCAGTCTCACTTGTACGTCCGTACTGATGTTTGACAGTTAGCCCTTCTGCCAAGACAACTTCCACCGCTTTGTACAGTTACCACTATGCAACTCCGTGCATAGTGCTCGCACCCATGGCTTCTGGTCTCCCTGCGTCAAGCTTTCTTGAGAGATCTGCATCAACTCTATCATCTGCTGCCATGGAACTAAAGAAACCACCATAGAGAAATAAGACTTGCCACTCCTTGGCACGCACTCTTGCGTTTTACCTGTCTCAATTTCTCTGTCTGGAAGTTCCTATGAACTGTCAACAACCCGCTGCTGCACATTCTTCTCGCGCCTCTGTACGATACTCTAGCGTACCCTTGCACTGTTGCACGTCTGCAATTGTACTTCTGCGCTTAGTATGCTCCTCTGCAACTATTGTTCTACATGTCCACATACCATTAGTACCTACTCGTATACAGTAGCTCCAACAGCCACAGTATTTCCCTGAGCCTGTACTGGTTGCCAAATCATCTATCCGTCGATGAATGGTCTTCTCTTTTGATTGAACCAGATCCTCCGACGAACTCCGGAGATAATCATTTCTGCAATCCTCTGATTACTCCTGACCAATCTTGATCTCCCTCGATCTGCCATTTAATCAAGCCTGATCTCTTCTGGTCTTCAATGATCTATCTCAATCTGTATCTGGTTGTCCAATCTAGTCAGAATCTGTCCATTCTAACCTCTTCAGTGAATCCCAGCGTTCCACAATATCCGGCAACCTTCCTTTGACTATTGAAGATGACAAACACCCATGTTTTGACAATCTTCCCAAACCGTTCAGAATTTCACTATTCTGACCTCGCGGTTGCGTCCGGAGCGGTCCGTTTAGCTAGAACCAACCTTTGCCTGCATTTCCGGGGACCTCACTGAAAACTATCCCCGAAAGCTGGCCACACCACAATTTTCTGAAAATTCTAGGCCAAATTGCAATTTTCAGAAGTTCAGGGAATATTCCGTGTACCAACAGAATATTCGTACACTGCCCCTGACGCGTCTGCCACTTTAATCTGCCTTCCTTTTACAGAAACTCCGTCTCCAAAATCTGACCGTACGGATGTGTCCGGAATACTCAAAAGTCGGAAACCACTATTGGATCACCAAAAACGGACTCCAAATGGCTTCGATCTAGCCAAAACATTTTGTACGCCTCAGATCTGCGGCTGTACCTTCGCCGCAAAGCACTGGATCCTTCCTCATGCGGCTGCACCATTGCCGCGTAGCACTGGATCCTCCCTTGACGCTGACGTGGCAGATGACATGGCACAACCGTGCTGACGTGGTGCTGACTGGCTGCCACGCGTCGATGACCTGGCTGCTGACGGGCTGCCACGTGGATGACACGTGGCGCTGATGATGACACGTCGCTGCTGACGTGGCTCGCATGGCCTGCGCGTGCCTACACGCGCCATCCCCCACTCGTCTTCTTCTTGGTCCGCGCGTGGGGCGCGTGAGAGGGACTGGGACACGCGCGGTTGCCTTAACGGCGCGTGGTGGCGCGTGGCGAGACTGGAATTCACGCGCCAACTTCTAGGGGCGCGTGACGGCGCGTCCGGCCTCCGTTTGGGTGTCTGCTTTATATTTCTGGACTCCTCTTCTCGAGCCCTTGCTCCTGGTATGCTCAAAACCTGATTTTGAGCAACTTGATTTCTGGGCAGTTTCAAACAACACGTGTTTTCCGAAAAACGTACAACTTTAGAACCTAGTCATTCTGCTTCACCGGCGGGCGGTAGCCTCGCCTTTTTATGGATTGGGCACGCCTTTTGATGGCCCGTCTTTTGATGGCACACCTTTTTATGGATTGGGCACGCCTTTTGATGGCACGCCTTTTTTGACAGATTGGGCACACCTTTTGAGGGTATGACTTTTTAGGGGTTCGACAAGACTCTGTAAACTGTCCCGACATTGATTCCGGTTAGCTCCTTCATGGGTCCGACAAGACTCTGTAAACTGTTCCGACATTGATTTCGGTTAGTTTCTACAAGGGTCCAACAAGACTCGTAAACTGTCACAAACAACTGTCACAACATTGTCTGCTACAACGGTCCGACATGACCCCATAAACTGTCTTCTACATTGGTCTGACACAACCATCCAGTGTCCTCTACAACGTTATGACACCACCATCCAGTGTCTTCACCAATGGTCTGACACGACCATACAGTGTCTCCTATCCTCTTTTCTTTTATGTATTCGTCTATTTTCTTGTTTTGTTACTCTCTCCAAACTCAAGTTGGCTAGTTCCTATCCCCCTTGAGTTTGCGGGGGGCTGTTAAAACCTATCACCTACTTCACCCACTTAAACCTATTCCACTAAACCTAACCCACTACACCACTACCACCTCCACTTCACCTACTCCTTACCTACTACACACTCACCCTCTTCTATATATAGGAATCATGAATCATTGTAATAAATATAACATTATAGCAAACAATCAATAATACAATCATTTCTCTTTATACATTAAATTTCTTACACTATCAAACCATATGCATACCACCTCACCTTGTCCAATTCTTATTAGATTTCTCAAACCATGTGCATAACGCCTTGCCCTAGGTCGATGTCCTTCAAGATTGATCCTTCATAAAGAAAAAAACAAAAAAACAAATTGGAAGATAATTGATTGAAATATCGTCCATCATATAAAAAAATAATAAAAAAAAATTGCAGGAAAGTGAATGGAATACTCTACTCCCTATATCGTTGCAAGTATGGGTGAGTATAAAATACATCTATTGACAAAAATTAATTAAAGAAAATCAAATGATATCAAACAATTGACGATTGATGCAGCCATTTGTTCCTATCCAAAGAAAGAAAGCATACTCAGTCTCCATGTTCAGTTTGTTTCTCGCGCCACCACCTCTTGAAAGTTCATATTCAGCCTACAAATAAAAAGAATTTGACATTGAGAAGATATATCTATACTGCCTCAAATCTCAAGTAATTTAATTTGGTAAATCCCCAGTGTAAGTAGAAAAAAATATCTTCATAATTGAGAAACAAAGTTGCACTTATAAAATAGCCAGAACACCAAAATATTTTAGTTTCTCATGGTGGAAGAAACTTTTACAAAATAAAATAAAAAAGAAAAGGAACACACAAATTAGCAAAAATAGAATTAAGACAATAATGTGTTATATGACAAACCTCAGATGTGGACACACAATGATAATGACAATATTTGCTTATGAAGTATAATGATAATGACAAAATTAGTAACTATATTATGTAGAGAACTTTAATATAATAGTGGCACTGCTGGGGTCAATTTTCTCGTACCTGTTGCTTGGCATGATCAAATGCCTCCATCCATTGATGGGCTTCTCCTGCTGTGGCACAAGCAATCTTGCAGCACCAGAATAATTAAATGTGAGAAGATGTAACATTTTTTTCCTGTAAGCATGAGAAGATCTAACACAAAAGTTTTTCCACTAAAACAAGAAGCATCTAAAAAATAATCAAACATAATAATAGTCTGACACAAATTCTTCCGAAACATAGTCAACTTAAACTCAATTAGCCAAGCAAATTCATATGTTCTATTAGAATTTCAAGACAGCTAATTGGGTAGAATATTAGAGTACAATATCAAGTGAAAAGATTTTTTTCTTGAAAATTGAAGGCCACTTAGTTAAGCCATCAATTGCCTTAAAATTTGCATCTCATCCTGGGAGAGAGCACCAATATTACCAGATGAACTTGCAGAACTCTCATATATGTGAGCATGAGAATGCACAATACCACTCCGACCACTATCACACCCCCTGGTGGGGCTACCATTCAACTTCCAGCAATGATCAAAAGCACGCACGCTTTTCCCGCAGTAAGTAATCACACTTTAGCTGGTCCTGATCATGTTCAACTGTGCCACCCTTGTTACTTGACTTGGATTGACTCAGTTTGCCATCCCCTGTAGAAGACGTGACAACTAAGGCAGAGCAATCCTAATTAGGAGCATGCACCATAGCATTGCATCAGCACTTCTCCCGCTAAACAAAAGCATAAGCATGTCTTAAGGCGGGAAAAGGACCACAGTCTAAAACATGAACCCGAATTTGATCATACTCCATATTGAGATGATCAAGAAATTCATAAGCACGCTCTTTCTCCACCATCTACTTAAAACATAGCTGCATCACCAGAACAAGCAGCCTAAAAGCTTTGATAGTAAAACAGGACAGCTGCTAGCACCTTGACATTTGGGAGTTGGCGGCCTGACACTTGGTGGCACCTTGCACCTATGTCAGGCCTGGACCGCAGCATGAGAGAGGCATGCCAAGACAACAAGGTGGGCAAACAATTGTGTCGTTCGGCGGCGGCATTCAACCCTTGGCCAAAGTATGGGCAGCATGGCACGTGCAAGGCATTAATATGACCTAAATGCTAGGCTGTAGCATACTTGGGGGTTTAACATAATCAGATGGCTTGACTTGGCTAAACAACAAGGCGTGGTGCACAACTTGGCAGACTAGCAAGGCAGCTAGACTTAACCAAGGCCAACAGATGGCACTCCGAGCTCTGTTTGGCTGGTGGCTTGCGAAATTCGAATTGTCTAAGGCAAGACAAAGGCTTCCTAAAATATAGGGGCAGTTGTGGGCTGTTATGCACAGAACCAAACATGCTAGCAAGGAACAAGGAAGGCTGAAATAAAGGAGCAGCTGGTGACAGTTATTTGTGTAGGCTTATTTCAAATCTGTCCTAACCCCTTGGTAGTTGGAGGTGTCAACTGCCATGCCAGATGGCATCTGTCCCTTATGTTTTGTAGCCTGTTTGAATTTCAAATATTCTGATTGTAGCCTATATATATGCATGGCCTTGCAAACTCGAATTCATCAAGTGTTTGAGAGTTGTGCATTGGGCTTTCCTTTGTAATTGTTGGTGCAATAATAAAGGTTGGGTTTTCTCGTAATTGTTGTGTTGCTTGACTTGTGTGCTTGACAAAACTTAACTTGTGTGTGTGAGTTGCATACATTGGCTGAGACTAAGTGTTGGGCCTTAGTGCCATCATTGGAAAATTTTACAGACTGAAAATTAGCCATGTGACAACAGCTTTACGAACTACTCAGCGCAGCTCTACATAGTACTCATCAAGAGACCTATATTTCTGATCCACCCATGAATCTTCTTCCCGAGTTCATAAGTCTATGCATCATTACCCTTCTAAGAGTATGTCTAAGCTATAGCAAACCAAATCTTATGAGTTGTGTCCAAGAACAAAACTACGACTGACTGGGTTGCATCGAATTACGCAACCAAAACATGATTACTGCATTTTTAAATGTTCATTGATTACGTGTAGGCCTATCCATGGTTGGCTCCTTGGAAACTTCAGTTATACAACCAGTCAGACCACTGGCGGCAATTGCCAAATTACAAGAACACGAACAAGTCAAATAATTTATGTCATCCAACTTAATGGGGCTAATGGGGCTATTTTGCAGAGATGCACTCAACCCACTCTCCTCGAAGCTATTAGAAATTTCACTAGTCTCTGACAAGTCCACAAATTAGGAATAACACAAAACCCAACAAATAACTGGCTGACACCCAAACAGAGTCAAAGTATACCACCGAAAAAATGATTTCCAAACACCTCTAGGGACTCAGCCACCTTTGCAATAAATAACCCAAGAAAAATTGTACCAAAAACTTGGGTAATGCTCCCTTCTTGGCCAGTCGGCACACTTAAGATCCCATGAAACCAAAAATTTCTCCAATCAAGGCCTGAACAACAGTTTCATATATATATATAAAGGCCACTTCCAAAAAACCACATAAAATTAGAGAGAGAGAGAGAGAGAGAGAGAGAGAGAGAGATAATAATAATAATAATAATAACAACTCAAATAAACTAGAAAAAAATGGATATCCAACACCTTCGTCGATCATCTGGTAAAAAATTCACTCCCATACAATTTTGTGGTTAATAGGGAAATGATGTTTGGTATACCCCAGGGACTACAATCACATTCACATCACAATCAAGATTCCATGGCTTGAGAATTTATAATTTTATTCATCTTCTGAACCAACAATTTGATTAAATACCATAATGTATAAAAAACTTTCTATGTCTTTTTTCTCTTTTCTATAGAGCTTATAAAGAGAAAATTAACAAAAAATATATAGTTTGTCTTTAATTGTTAGTGAACATAAAAAAATCGTATGCAAGTTGAGTCTTTGTCGTATTCATTACATCTTTTGTTTCAATAACTAAATGGCCTAGCATTGGTTTAGTGGCTGAAACTCGACCTATTAACCTTGAGATTGTGAGGTCTCAACTTGAGGGCAACCACTTTGTGCCAATATTGTCATATATTAGATCTGTACCCAATCTACTCTCCCAGTTGCCAATCCAACAGGGAATAAACTGGAGATATTATTTTTCACTAAATAGCCTAGCATATTATTGCTTAAGAAGGTAGAGCCAATAACACAAATCATAGAAACAAACTATCTACAAAAATTGTAATATTTAATACTAGAGAACAGTTAAGAATTGTAAGAATAAAAGGTTACAAAAATGCTACATACCCAAAACAAATCCCCAAAAAAGTTCCTCAATTTTGAAATGTGCGGATTATATTCATCCTTAGTGCCAGCCACGTCACATAAGTTTAAATATATACCATACATTCTAATTCTGGACACTTTTCTGTGAATTTATTTTGGGTAAATAGCATTCCTGTAAAAGCTAATATTAATTTCAAGCAACAATTTGCATTGAAAAAAAATGAATAAAGAGAATTGGACTTACTTCTCCTTTCTTTGTCTCATCCAACCGATTGTAAAACCGCAGAACATAAACATCCTAATAATTATAACAATAATTGAGGACCAAGGTTAACATTTGTTTATGCTTTAAAGCAAGAAAACACTAAGAATGAAATGTTCCTCACTAGAAGGCAGAATCAACCATAGAAGAAAAAGGTAGTAAACCAATACAACTGACATCTACAGTAAAAATACAAAAATAAAAAAAGAAATGCCTTTTAAAGGAACACAAATAGAGAAAACTTACACCATGATTGACCTTTCGACGTCCTAACTCTTCCACCATAAGTGTGTAGCCAACAACACCCCTCCTAATGGGTTTCTGCATGAAGAGAACGATGAGGACAAAACATTTGTTTAAAATTCAAGTGTAAATAGTCATAAATACCCAAAGACTTGGAAACTTTATTGTCTTTTTTAATTCTTTTACACGTATTCATGGACTGGGCAGTGTAGTATAGGACCCACGAGCAGAATCCATTTTAACTTCTTCAGCCAAAAAGAAAACAATAAATAGTGCTCAACAAAAATGTTAGATGTTAGATTTACATATGAAAAGAAGAAGAACAATAAGAAGAAAAGAAGAATAGAGAGAACTGCTGTGCTGCTGTTATATTAACACATGAAAAAATTAATTAGGGTTCTCCCCTCTTACACATGCATTTATAATATAAGACTAAAGACTAAAATGACACAGCTACCCTTAGACACTAACACTTAACACTTCCCCTCAAATTGGATGAAAGACCTTACTACTAAAACCTTTAGTAAACACATCAGCCAATTGATCTTCCGACTTCACAAAAGGCATACATATCAAACCCTTATTCAATTTCACCTTAATAAATTGTCGATCAATCTCAATATGCGTAGTCCTATCATGTTAAACAAGATTGTGAGCAATACTGATGGCAATTTTATTGTCACAGTACAGAGTCATAGGATCACCGCAAACAATTCCTATATCACTCAATAAGGATTGAAGCCACATGAGTTCACAAGTACCATGTGCCATAGCTAGGTATTCTGCCTCTGCACTAGCTCGAGACACCACTGTCTGCTTCTTACTTCGCCAAGTGACTAAATTTCCCCCTACAAAAGTGCAACAACCAGATGTAGACGTTCTGTCATCTACAGAACCTGCCCAATCTGCATCTGTAAATGCTTCCAACCTCAAGTGACCATAATTACAAAACAAAATCCCTTTTCCTGGGACAGATTTCAGATACCTCAAAATGTGTTGCACGAGGATCATGCATAAACTGACTTACTATCCCAACTGCATAAACAATATCTGGCCTAGTGTGAGATAGGTATATAAGCCGTCCCACAAGTCTTTGGTACCTCTCCTTCTCCACCGAGTTACCAACACCACTGCAAAAATGATGATTGACCTCAATAGGTGAATCAGCCGGTCTACAACCTAACATGTCTGTTTCTTCAAGAAGATCTAGAATGTACTTTCTCTGAGAAATAAAGATGCCTTTGTCAGATCTGGCAACTTCAATCCCAAGAAAGTACCTCAACGGACCAAGATCTTTGATCTTAAACTCCTTAGCCAACTGCATCTTCAAATATGTCAAATCCTCCTCATCATTCCCTGTCACAAATATATCGTCCACATATACAATAAGTACAATTACCTTGTTTGCGTTACGTTTAACAAACATTATATGATTTACATTGCCTTGCTTATACCCAAATCTCAACATGGCTTTCAGAAATCTGTCAAACCAAAGCCCGAGAAGACTGTTTCAAACCATATAAAGTTTTCTTCAACCTGCAGACTTTCCCAACTGTAGACTGAGTGAAGAATCCTGGTGGCACATCCATATAAACCTCGTCCTCTAAATCCCTGTGAAAAAATGCATTCTTCACATCTAGTTGTTGTAAAGGCCACCCCAATTAGCTACACATGAAAGAATGGCTCGAATAGAATTCAGCTTTGCTACAGGAGTAAAGGTTTCTTGATAATCAATTCCATATGTCTAGGTAAATCCCTTGGCCACTAGTCTTACTTTGTACCATCCAATTGTCCCATCTGCCTTCTGCTTCATGGTGAACACCCACTTACACCCCACTGGTTTTTTTCCACTTGGAAAAGGAACCAACTCCCAGGTATTATTCTTGCTCAGGGCTTGCATCTCTTCTACCATAGCTCCTTTCCACTTAGGATCATTAACAAGTTCTTTCTAACCCTATGGGATACACATAGAAGACAAAGACGAAACAAAAGCACGATATATAAGAGGCAATTAGTCATAGGACACAGAGTTAGAAATAGGATGTTGAGTAAAAGCCCCAACCCCTTTTCTAAAGAGGGATAGGAAGACTCAAATCATCAATAGCAGGACTGTCAAGTATTGGTGAAGGAATAGAATGAGGTGCATTACCTGTAGAATTAGTGGAAACAGGATTTGGAACCAGCACGAGGAATGATGATTGACTTGGTGGCACAAGGGATGACTGCTCTTTTTGACACCGTGAATAAGTCTTAAGATCAACCCTGTCCAAATAGCCCCCAATGTCTGGCTCATCACCAAAACCACTCTCAGGCTCTCCCCTCACCACAAATAACAACCCACTGACTGGGAATGAAAAAAGATAACTCATGTTGATATGACAGCATCTCATCCGCAATCTCATCCATAGCACTCTCCCCTCGAGGAGATGGCAGAGAAGAAGTAAAAAAGGACTCAGATTCAAAGAAGTTGACATCCATACTAACATACACTTTCCGGGTGTGAGGATCATAGCATTTGTAACCTTTCTGAGTAACGGAATAGCTAAGAAATACACAACGCACAGCTTTATGATTAAGCTTCCCACGAGTACGAGGTTGCAAATGAACAAAACAGACACACCCAAAAACCCGAAGAGGAAGAGAAAACATAGGATAAGCCATGGGAAGAAGTGCAAAAGGAATGTGGAATTGGAGGACACTAGAAGGCATGGCGTTGATGAGATAAGTAGCAGTAAGAACAACATCAAAAAGATTTAGGGACATTTCTGGGAAACAAAAGAGAACGAGCAACTTCAAGGAGATGGCTATTCTTACACTTGGCAACTCCATTCTACTAAGAAGTGCCAACACAACTGGTTTGGTAAAGAATGTCATGCTCCTCAAGATATGCCCGAAAATCACCATCAACATACTCAGTCCATTATCACTACGCATAATTTTAAAAAGTAGCATTGAAGAGATTGCTTACCATTTTATGGAAAAGGCGAAAACAAGAAAAAACCTCACTTTTAGTGCGAAGTAGATAAACCCAAGTCACACGAGAATAAGAATCAATAAAAGTGACAAACCAACAATAGCCAAAAGTAAACACCACAAGGAAAGGTCCCCATACATTAATATGAACAAGCATAAAAGGAAAAGTACTTCTTTTATTTACGTTTATGCTTAGCAAGTTCACAAGCATCACAAACAAAATTATTCCTAGAACAATCTTGAACTAATGAAGGGAAAAGCCTTTCTAAAATACTAAAGGACAGATGACCCAACCAACGATGCCACTGATGAAGTAGATAGAAAGAAGAGCCAGTAGTGCACTGAAGAGCCTAAGTGGAGGACAATGGTAATCTGGGAGGAACAGCATCCAAAAAGTACAGGCCACCATGTGCTTTACCACTGCTAATCATTTTTACCGTAGCCAATTCCTGAAAGACACAATGAGTAGGAAAAAATATCACCGAGCAATTTAAAGAGGTAGTAAGGCTACTCACAAAAGGTAAATTGGTAGAAAAATTAGGAACATGAAGCACAAAAGAAAGAGAAAGTAAAGATGAGCAATGAATAGAACCCTTGCTGGAGACGGAAGATAAAGTGTCATCAGCCACTCTAACCTTATCTCGCCTAGAACAAGGAGAATAAGAATAAAAAAGACTAGAGGCACATGTCATGTGGTCGGTTGCACCAGAATCAATAATCCAAGAAGGCAACGAGGATGTAGTAAGGGCACTAGCAGGAATATCTGTGCGGGTAATATTGGAAGAAGTGGAATGAACTGTGGTAAACGGAGAATCAGGCTGAGTCATCAAATGCCTTAGAGTGTGTAACTCATCTTAGGAAAGAGTACTGGGCTCACCAGAGGTACTAGTAGCAATCTCAAACACGTGTGCTTGTAGACGAGCTATACTACCACAACCACGACCCCGACCCCAACCCCGAGTAGGATGACTATTCAATTTCCTACGGTGCTCGCAATCATGCCAATCTTTCCCACAATAGTCACACTTCAATCGATCCCAATCAACCAGGGGGCCCTTGCTAGCAAACAAAACTGGACTAGACTTAGAATCACAGGTGGATGGAGCAACAACCAAATCAAAACGATCCTGAACAGAGGAATGAACCATAGCACTACAGCGACTTTACCCTTGCTGAACAAAAGCATAGACCTTGCGTAAGGTGGGGAAAGGGGAACGACCCAACACTTGAACGCGACTCTGATCATACTCCAAATTAAGGCCAACACGGAAGTCATACACGCGTTCTTTCTCCACAGTCTGCTGAAATAAGGTTGCATCCCAAGAACACACAGCCTGAAAACTTTGATAATAATCCAGTTCCTGCCACAAGCTGCTTAACTTGCATAGTACACTGCAAGTGATCTATCCTTCTGATCCAAACCTCAAAGCCTCTTTCTCAACTCATATGCTTGTGCATCATTACCCTATTGGGAGTACATCTGTGAGGCAACGGTCCAAATTTTATGAGCAGTATCTAGGAGAAGAAAGGACCGACTGATGGTGGGCTGCATTGAGTTAATGAGCCAAGTCATAACCAAAGCGTTCTTAGAAACCCATTGAGTACGCGAAGCGGCATCATTAGCAGGCTAGGGAAGGTCACCAATAATGTAGCCAATCAAACAGCGAGCAACAATAGTAAAGCTACAAGAACGGAACCAAATCAAATAATTGGAGCCATCAAGTTTCACAAGACTGATTTGAAGAGAGGGACTATTATTAAGAGTCATAACACGATGCACTCCGCCCTCTTCACTAACCTAGGGTATTAATCCTCAATTTCAGCCATTGAAAATCAATCCCCACAATAAATAACAGTCCAAGAAGCCAACAACAGTGCCAAAAACTCAACAAAGTACCAGGAAGATACCTTTACAGACTGAAACAGAGCCAAAAACGAGCCAAGAAAGCAAAAACCGAACAGAAATTGAGAGAAACCTCACCAATCCTTCAAAACAATGACTCTAGTGTCCTCTAATTATCCAGTCGGCTCCCAAGGAAAGAGAAGGAAGAGAAAAAAACAGCCCTAAAAAGGCTACAGCAATGGCTTCTGAAAAATAGCCATTTTTTCGAAAAACAAATCAACAAAAATTGGAAAAATCACCAAATAATTACCCAAAAATTAAAAGAAAATTATGGGGAAGAACCCCATGAAATTTCAAACCTGGGGGATTTTTTATTTTATTTTTTATTTTTTTGTGCAGAAAAACGAAGAAAAAAAAGAACAAGGAAAGACCACAATCTTCAAGGAGGAAGATATAGCTCTAATACCATGTTGGATGTTAGATTTACATATGAAAAGAAGAAGAACAATGAGAAGAAAAGAAGAATAGAGAGAACTGCTGTGCTGCTGTTATATTAACACAGGAAAAAATTAATTAGGGTTCTCCCCTCATACACATGCATTTATAATATAAGACTAAAGACTAAAATGACACAACTACCCATAGACACTAATGCTTAACAAAAAAATAAGAAGAAACAAAAAAGAAAAATGGAGATTATGGTGTAGGCCAAAAGCTAAGCACAATACAAATTGAAACAAAGCTATTTTGTACCAAACAAGGTTGTTAAAATAGGGATCCTAAGTGGGATCGTTGGAAAGGACTCGTGGATCAAATCGTAGAATCGGATCGAGAATTGTAAGATTCTACTTTTAATATAAAATAAAATGAAAAACTATCAATAATGATATATATGTTACGTAATTTAAAAAAGATTAAAGAAAAATAATAAATTTGATATAATGCACGTTCTATGTTAGAATAATACTATATGCACCAATCAGTGTACTAACTAATGTATCAATTGATGATGTGGCATAATTTAAGATGTTTTTGGTATTTGTAATTTGTATAATGAGTGGGGTCAATAATAATGTCATAACTAGTGTTGGTACACTAGTTAGTACACTAATTGGTGCATTTAGCACCACCATTTATATTAATATCAATTAAAATAGACATTTGAAAAAAGTGTTTATAGTCAAATTTTTTATAGAGATATACACATATAAATACATATATAAAAAACAAATAATGACAAAAAAAATTGTTAGGGTCGGGATTGTATTAGAATCGGCATCATATGCGATTCTACACGATTTTATGAATAGGACCGAAGTAACTTTAAGATCTTACTAAATTTAAGATCTTAGTGTGATCCAGATCATTTGGTCGAACCAAAATCATAGAATCGCAAGATCTTACGATCCGGATTAGCATTATGATAACCATGGTGCCAAAGCTAACATATACAAAGCCATAACTACATCATGCAGGAAAGGATCAAACCAAAAAAATTCAAGCATTAAAAAGGGAAATTTCTTTTGTTTTTCATTCAACATATACCCATATTGGGCCTTTAGTTGCAAAAATATTTCCAATAATAGTGTCTGCACTTCAGTAGATGAGATTAAGCATAAGCTAAGAAGACTTGTCATAATCAAGTGACTAAAGCAAGATCTTATTGCAAAACACCACAAAGGTGTACCCTTCATCTTTCAAGTAGTAGTCCTTTTGAGTAGGCTTCCATGTTCACTGCTTCCAAGAACTTCACTAAGAAGGATTAATCATAACTAATTATTCCCATGACCAACTATACAATAAGCTACAGACTTACATCTCAACAAGTGGACTGATCTCATGCCTCTAACGACTACCATGCCTCTGTTATAATAATACATCATCTAGCACACCATAAAACATAGCCATAGTCAATTCAGAGAAGTGTTTCTTCACCTTAACATTCAACCTATTAGATCTGAAATCATATATACGGTACATTAAAAATGACTTTATTATTTATATCCTCAACAATCAAGTCATGCTGAGGAATATCCAGAGTTGATCAATAGCACAGGTCTGAAGACAACATGCAACCAGCTTTTTGGTGATAGCAATACTAACTTCTGCTTTCTTAATCCATCAAACTGTCTCCTAGGTTTCAACCAGACAAGTTCCTAACAATTAAAGCGATGTAAAGATTTTCTTAACATAATATGTGTGGAACAAGATCATGCCTGAAGCTCTGATTGATTCAAAAAAAGATTATCATAGTATCAAAGAAGCTCATAGCTTGACAACTGACAGATTTGATAATTCAATGCAACTGCCTATGATTGATCTTCCAAAAGAGAGTTGGGAATTTATTAATTGACTACACATTCTATGAAGTCATATAAGATGATGCAACAAAGGTGAATGGTATCCAGGAACTTCAAATTTTTCAAGCTTGACTAATGACTATGAAGTATCATTGTTTATAGCTGCTACAGCAATTGCATTATTTAGCTTACTTTTTCAGGTTTCGATCTTATTTGAATTTCATCTTAGTTAATTGGAAGTACCAAACCAAACCAAGCCTTATGTCCCATCTAGTTAATTGGAAGTAATAGTACAAAATATCAATGTATCAGTAATTAATTTCCCATGCATCTCTAGCCATAATTAAATCCTACATGACTAAATTCCACAAATTTTCCACTCCTGATGTCAACTTTTACGCTTCATCTTTCAGGTAGTAGTACTATTGGGTAGAGTTCCATGTTCACTGTTTCCCAAAAACTTCACTGAGAAGGATTAATCATTCCCATAATTATACAACATGCTACAAACATACTGATGCCGGACTGATGGCAGAAAAAAAGATAACAACGAAATAATAATAAGGAGAAAAAAATAAAAAAATAAAAACCAATATTCTCAAATAAATTGCACTCAATAATAAATATCTCAAAATGTCTAATAACAATAAACCCAATATTTATAGACCAACTAAGAAAATAATAAATAAGGAAAGAAATAATAAATCCCAAAATTACATAATAGTTCCTTAAGTTAAAATGGCCTAAAACCAAGCTTAATTTAATCAGTTTCAATTCTTAATGGGATCAATGGTGGGCCTCATGTGATTCCCATCACTTGCTCTTCAAAAGATGGACCGACATGCTTCTATTACATTACCACTTTCAGCTAGCAAACCATAAAACATTAAGATAGTCATTCAGAGAAGTGATTCTTCAACTTAATTCAAAGTATTAGCTTTGAAATCATATATATGGAAAATTCAGAAATGATCTTTTAGCACTGCATTTATTCTATATTCACAACTCTTTGAGCTACCAATACATTATAATAAAAATAATTCCCCAAAAAAAACGGAAAATATAAAGTGAAACAAAAAAAATCCCTCTGTTTGGTTGCCAAGAAAACTCAGACAAATATGAGATGAACTGCACTGGTCATAGCAAGATTAGTCTCAATTGGAGCCTTTTCTCAAAAACCAAATAGGTTGAGAGGGAGGGAGAGATTTTGAACTTTATGATTCAAATTTAATGCAGTCTTTTATTAGCTTACATTTAAGTATAAATTAAACAAACTTACATTCAAGAACTTTGATCCGTTCCTCTGTTTCACAAACTTCCTCGCCAATACACCAAATTATATACATAGACAAACAACCCAACCCAAATTTACATACATGCATATATTGGCAACCAAAACCGATCACATCACACCACATCTACTATTTTCTATACTACTATATAAACCACACAAAATCATTTCCAATGTTCATAATGTTTTTTTATTTTCCCAAAATTACCCATATTGTTATGTCAGAAAATAACAGATAACAATTATCAAATTCAACCTATTTTCTCCATTCATCAAATCATCATCAAAATAAAAAAATAAAAAAAAAAACTTAAATGTAAAACTGCACCCTAGTATATATTTATCAACAATGCTAGGTGGCCCAAAAATTCATGACTCAAAACACTCAAAACGATAAAACCATGTCGTTTTGATACATTTGAGCCATTCAAGTCATACAAATTTGGGCAGCCAAGCATTTTTCTATATTCATATGGCCTAGGTTTTCTCCAGTCCTAATCGGACCAGCCCACAGCTGAGTCCAAATCAATGATTCAAACCTCAATGGGTAGAACCCGTCAAGTCCTTGATACTTACAAAAATCACATTGATGAATAGCTATCGGTTCGCATTTCTGTTAATAAAATTATTGACAAAAATGTGATATAATCAAATTGTTAGTGATTATCGAGACAGATCCAAAATAGGTCCTAAATGTGCCGGACTGGACGGTCCAGTTGTTCTGCCCAACTGGAGACAATCCAGTCCCTATTTATATTTATAGAGTGCGTGCGTGCGTGTGTGTGTGTGTGTGTGTGTGTGTGAGAGAGAGAGAGAGAGATGCGTTACAATGCCGGGGTATTCGCGAGGGTCGCGCTTGTACATCTCGACATACTTGCCGCGAATGAAGAGAAAGCGGAGATGATAGTACTCGTGGCCGATGGAATTGACGCGAAAATGGTAGACCCAGCCGAAGAACTCGAACCTCCCTCTCTCTTCCGTCCCAGCTCCGCTCTCCGATGACCCTCCTTCGCTCCCAGTCTTCTTCAATGTCAACGCCGACGACGCCATCTCCCTCTCTCTCTCTCTAAAAAAATACTCTCTCTCTCTCTCTAGAAAAATGGAGACAATTCTGGTATTTATTGATTTTGGTGGCGTTGAGTGATTTTCCCCAAAATTTGAAGTGTTTTTGAAGGCGAGAATAGAAAGAAGAAAAGTACTTGGAAGTAGAGAGAGATAGAGATTGACATGGTGTTTACTTGGTGAGCCTTAGGGAGCTGAATAAATTATTAAAGTTATTATTAATTTTTTTATATGATAATTTGTATAAATTTTATATTTATAGGAGAGATTTCATAAAAAATTTAATAATCTATTTAAAATTTATGGCAATTTTCTCACTGGTTGGTGTTTTGGTTTTGTTTGGCCAGCGAAGGAGTGGTAGTCGGAGGAAATAAATGGAGAGGGCGATGATGTAGACGTTGTAGATTGAAGTCAAAATCAAATCATCAAATAAAAGACAAAAAAAAAAAATCAGAAAAGGATCCGGATCGTCTCCGGTTAAGATTTGAAACAATTTGATCCAATTTGGCTCATTAAATCTACTTTTGTACTCTTTTTTTTGATAATTCGAACTATTAATATTTAAGAATTTGTTTAGTATATTATTTCTGTAAAAAATCATGTCGATCGGATAACAGATACTATATTCGATCACTTTTTTCTGAAAAAAAATGAACGGTCAGAAAATTAACGATTCGTAAAAAAATGATCTGAATACATAATATTCGTTTATCCGATCGACGTGATTTTTTACAAGGATAATATATTCAACAAACCTTAAAATATGAACGATTCGAATTACCAAAAATAAACTCAAAAATAAGCCTAATAAGTTGGATTGAACCCTATAATGGTAGCGTTTGGTAAAACTTATTTTCAACTTAAAGCAGTTATATTGGTGTGTTTGGTACAACTTATGAAGGTAGATTATGGCTTAATTTAAGCCAAATTTCCGCTTAAATGGGAAGTTGCTCTTGGGGTGCTTAAGATTACAACTTATGCGCGCAGCTGGTTTGGAGAGGGGCAAAATGACTTAAATGCCCCTCACAATTTCAAATAATTACAAATGTACCATGTATATAAATCAAAAAAAACTCTTATTTTCGTCTCTTTGATGAAGCTCTGGCGATTTTCGACGACACCTAGCGATTTCCGGCGACGTGTCCCCCTCTCTCTCTCTCGATGAAGATGAAGATCTGGGTTGCTTGATCTGTCATCTCACTCGATCTGATGAAGATCTGGGTTGGCACTCGATCTACAATCTCACTCTCACTCTCACTGGATCTCGTCCTTCTCTCTCGATCTCACTCGATCTCGTCTCTCTCTCTCTGTTGCAGACCACCGGCTAGGGTTGCAGACCACCCGCGACAGGTCGATCTCGGCTAGGGTTGCGGCGTACGAATGGCTCAGGAAAGAAGTAAAGGAAAAAAAAATTAAATAAATTAAACAAAAATAATAATTAAAAACAAAATAATAAAAATAATATTGAACAAAATAAATTAAACAAAATGTAATGAAAAAGAATAATAAATTAAAAAAAGAATTATATTAACATTATAATAATTATATTAATATTAAAAGAATTAAATCAATTACACAATTTAATTGTAATGAAAAAGAATAATAAATTAAAAAAAGAATTATATTAACATTATAATAATTATATTAATATTAAAAGAATTAAATCAATTACACAATTTAATTGTAATGAAAAAGAATAATAAATTAAAAAAAGAATTATATTAACATTATAATAATTATATTAATATTAAAAGAATTATATTAACATTATAACAATTTAATTGTAATTAGTATTAAAAAAATTATATTAAAAAATAATAATAATTAGTATCAAATAATATTAATATTATTTGATATAAATTACATTTTATCAAGTGTATCAATTTTTATATTAGTTGATACTAATTAATACTAATTATATTAACTTTTATTAATGAAATAATTTTTTTAAATTAAAATTGAAAAAAAAATGACAAAATTATGATTTTTATATCATATAAAGGCAAAAAAGTCAATTATACAGAAAAAGTTATTTTACAGCTTATTTACCAAACACTATTCTACTACTTGAATTTATAATCCCACAACTACACCAAACAGGTTACCAGCTTATGTTGTAAGTTATAATCTGTTAAACTATAATGTATAATCACTTTCTCACAACTTTACCAAACGGGCCAATCTAGATGATAGACTGGAGACAAGCCCAGCCAAGCAAAAAGGTGTCCAATCCAATCCGTAAACCCAAGTTTTCTATGCCTCACTTTGCCAAATCCTTTTGTTTTGTTGTGGAGTTTGGATGCTAACAAAATATGTTTTTTTTCAAAAAGAAAAATAAAAATTGTGAATTTGAAAAAAATAATTCAAATCAGTGGTAATAAAGATTTTTTTATTGATTTAAAATGAAGATTTTTTTGATAAAAACATTACTAATGAAATTGTTTGGTAATAAAGATAAATTATTAATTTTTATTTTTATCTCATAGTTGGCAAGTTGCCCCTGATTGGTCACCAAAAAAATTATTGGAAAATTTGTCAAAGTTGGTTGGTGGCACTAGTAGTAATAACGGTGATATGGACATATAAATAAATTATGTGAATATATAAGTGCAACAAAGATAAATAAAGAATAACAGTAGATAAATAAGTGATGTGAATAGATAGGTGAACGGTAAACAAATAGACAAATAAATAAATAAAGGTAATATGATCTTTCAAATTATTTTTTCTTTCTAATTTTAAAAGATAAAAGAATAGAGCTTAAAACTATTGTCCCAAAAGTTTCAAAATTAGACTATTGGTTGAGTCCCCTAATATATTTTTAAGTAATGATATACAAATTAGAAAAATTTATTCCAAATTTTTATACATAATGATATCACCTAATGTATACTTTTCACTTTAAAACAAAATATGTTGGAAATGGTTAATTTTTCCTCAAGTTTGGTCTATTTTTTAGGTGGGCCCCGAGTGTCGATTTACTCGGGTCAAAGTGGTAACGCGTTCTATGCCGCGTTGTGATTCACGTGGTATATTTGGTTGAACAGAATTAAATCTTTTTAAATACAGTGTTCACTTTAAAACAAAATATCCATCAAGATGAGTTTATTTATAATAATGACATTACCACATTATTTTCATAAAAAAAATTATATGAATAGAATCTTTGTATATTTTTTTCATATCACCCTGCTTCATAACTAGCTGGGATTAAATTAGCAATTTATTGGATGTCATTGCCATTCTTATGGCAATTGAGATTCACAATCCAATTTGATGGGATTAACGGTGAAAATAGCATTCTTATACCGTTAGGTTTCGCAATCTAATACGATGAAAGTATCATTTTATCTCAAATTTTACAAAAATTAACAAAATTGTTTTTAATATAATAATGACTTTTAAGTGAGTTTATATATTTAATTCAAACAAACTAATACCAAAATATTAATATGCAAATAAATAAAATCTATCTTAAATTTTTTATCACCTTAATTTAATTCAGAAACTAAATATGGCCAGAATTTATAATTTTAAATTGGGCAAATTACAAACACCTCCCTCGAGGTTTTGTAAAAATACAGATTCCCCCCTGACGTTTGAGAAATTACATCCCACCCCCTGAGGTTTATATTTTCATAACAAATTGCCCCCTGAGGTTTTTATTTTCATACAGATTCCCCCCTAATTTTTTCTAATTTGTTATGAAAATTTGACTCTCAGGGAGCAATTTGTAATTTCTCAAACCTCAGGGGGGAATTTGTATTTTCACCAAATCTCGAGGGGGTGTTTGTAATTTGCCCTTTTAAATTAATTAAATAGTGTGCATTAGTCAACTTTGGCAATGTATAAACAAATTTAAATTTTGGTTGGTTTGTTTATTTTTGGTCGGTGAGATAGAGAGCCCAACAGTTCACTCCACCACACGCTTGTCTGCCGTGTGGAGTCCGTGTGGAGTCTTTTTTTTGTCCGTTTCCTCCGACGAGTTAATTTTAATTCAATTATAGTGCGTCAAATTAATAAATAGAAAATGCGGGGACCCCAGTACGGGGCGACCCCCAGCCACGTGGTTGTGGGTGATTGGTAGGAAAGAAAGAAAAAAAGAAAAAACTGACGAATGGCGTTACGCCACGTCACTGGGGGTCGACCCCCAGTGGGGGTCTGTAGCAATGTTGTTAATAAATAATAATAAAATTTAAGTTCTCATTTTATCAAAGTTTGTTTTATTGAAAAAGTGAAAATATAAAATAAAGAAAATTATTGAAAATTTTAATTTAACAATTATATAAGATATTAGGTCCAATGAATATTTTTTTTATTAGGGACAAGTCTACGCTTTGTTTTCAATTTTACCCTTCTATCTGTTATTTTTTTATATGTTAAATTTTTTTTATTTTACCTGTTAAAAATATATCTGTATGAAATTTTAGTCCTATTTTTATTCTATCTGTTCAATTTTTCTATCTGTTCAAATTTGTATCTATCTGTTGAGATTTCTTTCTTTTTTTTACCTCTATCTAATGAAATTTTAGTAAGCCAATTTTTGCTATATGTTGAAATTGAATCTCTATCTATCAAAAATTGAATCTCTTTGTTTTTATCTGTTGAAAATCTAATTCATAACTTTTTTTTATCTATTGTGTCATAAGTTTTTTGTTTATTTGTTGCAATCGTCAAATCAACAACAACAATAATAACAATAACAATAACAATAACAAAAAGAGAAAAAATATCCGATCTTTTCAAACCTGATCATCATCATCAACAACAACAATAACAAAGAAGAAAAAAAAAAGATTTGATCTATCAAAACCAAACCAAATCAGATCTTCTACTCTAAAAATTAAAAAAAAAAAACAAAACAAAATAAAACAAAACAAAACAAAATAGAGCAAAACAGATCTAAGTTGATAACCCCTCAATTTTTGATAACTTCTTAGGGTTTGTCCTCTCTCTCTCTCTCTCTCTCTCTCTCTCTCTCTTTTCAGTTTTCAGCACCATCAATGGCTACTATGACCCTCAATCTAGGCCTAGCAAAGTGTAACAAATAAGGATATACGCGGTGCGGTTCGGACTGTTTGAGAGTAAAATTATAAATCGAATGGTAGATTAGAGGATTGACAAATTGCGGTTTGGGCAGTTTTTGACGGATTGAGTAATATTTTAATTAATTATCATACATTTGCTTAATATATAACACCAATTTGTATAATATTTTTAAATATATAACATAAAGTAATTTTACGTAATATGTTTCATATATATTAC